GTTGGTGTTGAGCAACTTGGGTTATTGCTGGTATGTTCTAAGCTACAGATAGATGTTGGCCTTGCCAATGTACTCTACCTAGTTGTCAGGAATGCCCTTTCTGATATTCCTGACAACAATTTAATCATTGGCATAGGAGAATATTCTGCTCCTCCTTTGGGTCCTACTGGATCACCTAATAGACAAGGGTCAATAGGTAGTCATTGTTCTTTGTTACCTTTAAATTTGGGCCCAGTTGGATCTTTGAATCAAGTAATGACAATAACAGGATTTGAACCTGGGTCTTCTTTTTGTTTATACACTCTTTTGCTCAAAGAAAATATTAGTAAAATAGTAAACAACAAATTGTTAACTTTTGAAGTTGATTCCAGCCAATCAGGCGGTGTGACAATGCTTTAAATGGATCATTTAACCAGTATTGATGATGCTGCTGAACGCCTTGACTCTAATTTGCTCAAGCTTGCCCATTAGTCTCTGGTTCATTTGCTAGTCCCTGCTCTTCTTCTCCTTGTCTGAGTGAGAGATAGCTGAATATTCTCCAGGTTTTGCTGTTCTTTGTGGGGTTTCCTAAATTTTAACTTAGATTAATTATGTGCTAATGCACATTTTAGAGGAAAAGTTAATCAAGTTCCCAAATTTAAGTTACAATAACCCACAAATCTCCAGTAACTTCCCCAAATCTTTACAACCCTTTAATTTTCCCCAACTATTTTTACTCTTACCATGTTATATATAGCTGGTAAGTGTTATTCTATTATTTTGTTCAATAAATAAATTCTATATTTACCTCAAGTGAATTATTGTCTATTTTAGCTTGACTTAAACCCCTTTTAATCCTAACCATGAGATTATCCAAGGCTTCCATTATGGTTTCTCTTGGGTATAAATGGGTCTTCTGGATGATCTTGTTGCAGGCTGTACAGGACAGGATTTTGCTAGGTACACATGCAAACTCTGGTACCTCCCCCAAGGCTCATTTCTTGGATAACTCTTGGCGTCAGGTAATACCAGGAGTTTGGTATAATGCTACCCCCTTGTCCCACAACCCACCTCAGAAAGAAGAACCTCAGAGCTACCAGTCTGTTAACAAGCCCACCAAACCCCAGGTTTTCTGCCCTTTGGCATTAGCCTTCCTCTTTTGCTATTTAGGGGTGTACTTCTTCTTAGGACGTTTCAATCCGCTTTTAGACTGGTATTACCTGTTTGGAGAACTATTTCACCTTGGTATGGTGTCCTTGCCCGTGGATTCTCTGTTAACTGTTCTAAATCCCTCTGCAATCATTCACCACCTTTGAAGATTACTTCCAAGTGGGTGGATTCCTGACACTAATCCCATGCAAGAGCACTACAGACTACAATAGAATAGAACTTTGAAGATAATTACGTCTATTGGAACTGGAGTACAATCTAGCCAGCAGCTGCAATCTATCCAGGTGTAAATAAGAACTTGTTGTCATCCTTTCATATGTCTGTATCAATCTATACTGCAACAACCCTTGTTCTTGTCCTTTCAGACAGTTCTCAGTGGCTACCTTTGCAATAGGTTCATCTTTGCTGAATGCGCCTATCCTGATTGATTGTCCTTAGCACATGTACTGCTACTGGCCTTAGAAAGGCGTACATGGCACTTCAGCTTCAGCCTACGCTCTTCTTGAGTTAGCCTACTGGTAGTTATTAACTGGCTGTATCTTTACACAACTATTATGGTACTAGGAAACTAAGCTGTATTTTTTGGTGCTTGAAATGGTCCCAGTTCTATCATCTCTACTTTGGGAGGTAGAATTCTGATATTCCTGTTTTACATTATTAGGGATTAATCAGTTATCCTTTTCTGGCTGGCAAGTGTTTTACTTATTAATATGACGGTTCAAATTGGGGATTATACACCATATAATAGCTGACTTGATCCAATATTGACACGCAGATTATCTGCCGTGTAATACTGATCCAAACCAATAAGGAACCAATTATACGCCTTCCAGGCTGAGTTGATACAATGTCCAGTGGGATGGAATGAGAGGTAAACAGTTGATGATCTAGTAATTACACAGTGTGTAATCATTGATAATCACTATATTGGCTAACAAATATATAGTACCAATTGTCATATCAATTATAATAAACTAACAATTATAATAAACTGGTGATTATATGGTGTATAATCACTGCACTTAATAGAATGATAATCTAGTGATAATACTGCGTGTAACTGATAAAGATCTGTGTACAATGATTAGCCCAATCATTTGTGGTCAATCAGCCTAATCTCACAGTCAGAATTGTTAAGCCTTTTGTTGACTGGCTTTTTGGCAAGGCACGCAGGAATGAATAAATCAGTGTGGCCATAAAACTTGTCCATGGTCTCTGCTGGAAGGGTGTGGATCCCAGCCTGCAGCAAATCATACAGGTCCTCCATCCCAGTTGGTGTCCCCCGCTTGACAACTTTCTTGGGCCACCTAAAGACTTCTTTAATTGGTTTTAGGAATGGGGAATAAGCAGAGATAAATAATAGGCAAAAATTTGATGTGGCTAATTGTTGTGGGCCAACTGCAATGCCTGTACTAATTGTTGCAAACTCCTCAAGAATATCTGCCGCCTTATGGAGTCCAACATTATCCAGTACAATGATATTGGTGAACCCTGAGCTTGTGCACCTAAGGTGCTCCTGGACCAACCAGATAAATGATAAGAAGGCCCTGCTGTTTTGGGATCCCAATATCATTTGGTACATCTCAATCCCCTTTGGACCAAGGAGAGCCACCATGTAATAGGCTGTGGCGTGGACTGCAGCCCGCTGAGCTACTCTGTCATTTGAACCTTTGAGGACATAGCCATTTTGCATAGACAAGGCAAACACTAATTTGTCAATATAGTAGAATTTGACAGTCCCCTTGTTTTTGAGTGCATTTTACACCTCTGTGTAGTTTTTCTGGGTCTTAATATTGATAAGACTATTACAGCTATAAGGAGATACCACAAGTTTTTTTATAAAAACCGCATACCCCTGACTAACGGTTTAAAAAAGAAAAAAGCCTTGATCCCAAAAGTGGACTTGAACATCAACTGTATATTTTCCAGTTAAAGATGGCAGTCTTGGTTAATCCACTGAGAAATAAGTCCATTTGTGCTCCTTTTTGAGAAGGGTCAACAGGTGTGTGGATTTATCTGCTTTCAGGACTTGCCCAGTATTGATGAATTTGTTAAAATTTTACTTGTGTATTTGGGATCTACCCCAACAATGGCTACAGCATGCTTTTAGTCCCCAGATTCCTGCATCAGCTTTACAAGGATGATGTGCTTGCCATCAGAAACTGACTTCTGGGCGGCCTTTATTGGTGCAGATAAGCCAGGATCCTGATTGATGACTGACACACAAGGCATAGGCACCTTGTTGTAGAAGGCTGCAACCTTCTTTAACATCATTGGTTCCTCTGTAGTTCTATAAAAATTGGGCACTTATTATCATCTAGGGGCTTGTGTTCAGCTTCAGCTCAAGGGGCCCAATTCCAGGAAAACGCAGGTGGCTGTCCCATTGGTGCTTGGGGCTGGCGGCCTACAGGGAATCAGGGCCAGGAGTCAAATCCTGCCCTAGGGCCAGTGTTTCAAGGGAAAGAAAAGTGTCAATCCTGACACAGATTATGTGCCTTATTTTAGATAGCTAGGTATCATTATTGTTTACATTTAATTTTACACAATAACTGAGTGGTTTTTTTACATATGGAGTTGCTATTGTGTTTTGTTTTTGTTTTGAATTTTGACTCCCCACACTTGAGTGTATTTTGTCATCAATTTACATAGTAAATATATGTACACTGAAGGTCAAGACAAACCATTTTGTTTTGAATCCATGTATTTTGGTTTGTATTTTGAATATTTTTGTATTAAGTGTGAGAATTTTGATTCTGTATTGATCCATTTTTTTCTATTAATGCCCAAAATCCATGTTAACAGAGTGTATATTTTATATTGATAGTTTGAATTTGTTCAAATCTGAAATCATTTTGTTAAATCTGAGGTATTTTTGGTTGTTGCCATAGCTTTTAAAATTACTGTATCTGGAAAACTACACTGTAGTCTTTGTCTAGTATCCCAAAGATAAAAATCCTGAGAAACCTTAAGGTATCTCTGTAGTGTTTTCAGCTAAATTTTAAATCATTTTAAATAAGTCTTCTTCTTCTTCTTTTTGTTTTTTATGGGTTCTTTCTTTTCTTTAGAATTTTTATATAATATATTTCTTGGGATATATTTAATATATCTGAAAGAAGCTTATTTATAATAGTCTGGATTTAAAGCTTTCTGTGACCTAGTTGCTACTAGCTAGCCTCATTTTTATATATATTTAAATTTATAAGGGAATTTTTAATATAACCAAAATCTTTAAAAATAGATTTTGTATGTTATGAGTTTGAAAGCAAAAAGCTGATTATTTCCTGTTTTTGTATTTGTGATAGCTTAAAATTGAGATGGTATATATAAGATATCATTTTTGTTATATTTACCCACTAAGTACTTATGTAGAATTGAGCTAATCTTACAAATGCAGATATATATTCTGGTTTCTAACCCAGTTGCAACATTTTTTATTTAAATACTCCATAGAAGAATAGTAGAAATATGAATTTTATTTTTTTGGGGTTTGGTTTCTACATCTTGGTCAAATACAAGTGTCTAATTTTTACTTCTTTTATATCAATAATTTTTATTGGCTTTATTTAATGCTAATCAATATATTTTGAGTATTTAATCAAAGCACAAGATTATCATAATATAACATCAACTACTATTGAAGCAACTAAAACTTCCTCCTGCCTATTTGAACATATAATTGCCATAGATTATTCAAGATGGGTAAAAATGCAATCAAAAGTAAAAATGCTATTCAAACTATATAGTTATAAATATGATTAAAAGTAAGTTGCAATGCAGAGAAAGTAACAAATAGTTAACAATGATAAAAATGTAATAATAGGGGGAAATTTATATAGGCATGTTAAAAAGATCTCTCAGGCGGGGAATTGAACCCCAGTCTCCCACGTGACAAGCGGGGATACTCACCACTATACTTTTTTTTTAAAAAGAACCCCCAGCAGGGGCTCAGGAAACTTGATTACTTTATTCAATAAATAGGGAAGGTATTGGGGGAATTTAAGTGTTCAGTTTCCTAGGTCATGGAGGGTATGCATCAGGCGCCGTCTGGTGAAAAAATAGGCTTTGGCATTGAAGATCCAATAATTGATAGCACCAGGATTCAAATCCCGGGCCCTCAGGGGAAGAGATGGCCGCCTAGAACCACTCAGGCAAGTCCCCCTTATACTCACCACTATACTATCTGAGAATTGATAACCCCTAAAATACTTATGTATATATACTTTACCAAGTTTATAAGGCAAATAAATAAGGTCTAAAATCTAATTACCATACATATTAAGTAACCATGTCCTTATATTATAAAAATTCAAAAATATTTTTGACTTTGTTTTCCAACTACTATCAAATATATCAATAAAAATATTATTTTGTAGTTTAAGCCAAAATGTTTTTTCTTTACTCTTACAGTCAGGGCCTATCCAGCCAAAGTAAGCACATGTGACTGAAAAAAGAGAGTTGGTCTGCTTCTACAACACAGCTGCCTACTAGGCAGATACTTGGTTACAACCTTGGATCCATAAGAGATTCAAACTGATTCCCTGACTTTTTTATGAATCTATAATCTCAACTTATCAAGTGTCAGGAATAGTAATTTGGATGTTCCTAGATCTCAAAATATGGAATTAGAGTCAAACCCTGGACAAAACCCTTTGCAGACTGCCAGACTCATAGGCTGGGAACGCAATAACCCACTACTAATTGATGAAATTGTTACCAGCCCGCCAGGACCCAAACCCTTAGCTGCCTGCAGGATTCTGCAAGCAAACCACCAGTGCAAGATGCCGGGAATTTCCCTGAGGTGCCAACGCCTGACACTGGCAGTTTGCTTGGTGAAATAGTCAAATTTCTCCCTGAAAGTTATTCTGAACTCCCCCAAAGTCCTGGGGAAGGCACTGAACCCAAAGAGGCACCCAATACCCAAATTGATAAACAGAAGAATTCAAAGTCTTCTCACCCCAAAGTGGCCAGTGGCAAACTGCCAGTGCTGAGTGCCACACTGCCATCTGAGACACCCAATGCCAACCCGCCTGAGCCCAGAAATCCTGGCCAGGAAGTGAAGCCTGGAAGTGTGGGATAAATACCTGCCAGGCCAAGATCAAACCCCCATCATCATTTTTAAATAAAGGTTATGAGATATTAGTTTCCCCAACTATTGCCGTATTTTGTTCCTGCCATCTGCCAGTTAACTCAAAGATCATCTGACCCCCTGCCAACCCGCCAGCTACATACTGCCGGCCAGGTGCTCCCTTTGGTCCTGTCCACTTCACAGAGTACCCCTTAAAGCCCGAGTACAAGGACTACATGCCAACAACATACTAGCCCAGGACCCCTTGACCAGAACTACTGAGAGAACCAGATACAACCAAGAAGGCCCTTAGTACATTACCAAGCCCTGCCTGTTCAGAGATAAATACAACTTCCTTCCTGCCTACCAAATAGACATGGAGCCACCTGTCACCCCCAAACCAATGCCTGCCTCCTCAGCCAAGCTCCCATTGGATCATACCAACAAGCTTTTTGGAATTGTATATGTAACTCTCACGGGAGTAATAGATACTATTGTCCCTGCTGCTGGTCTGTGGTCATGGCTGGGCAAGTCAATGTCCTACCTCATTAAGTTAGCACCAATCCTTTGGTGGGTCCTGCCCACCCAGTCTGCAACCCGCCAGTTCCCAAACACTAGCAAGCCGGCCAATCAGGGTTGGTTCCCTGACATTATGACAATCTATTTAAACCTGGTACCCTGAGCCCCAAGGTTTTAACTATTCTTGGGGCATCTTATATGTTTTTTTGTAATGATAATCACTTATTACACATTTATGATGACCAAGAACCTGATCTCTTCTGTGTGGAAGAGTACAAATGTGACCCCAGACAACCCCAAAAACTCTGACCCTGCTGCCAAAACCTCCAAAGGTCCCTCCTCTCAGGTTCAGAATGTGATAGTCAACCAATCCCTCACCAAAGTGGAGATGCCCCATATGGGAAAACTCACTCTTGAAGAGGCCCACTGCGCCATGCCAGTGCTCTGACTACATTTTCAAGCCAATGCCCCATCCTATTCCAGTGACACCAAAAAGATACTTGGAGTAGCCGCCATGCTATCAGGAGACGCCCTTGATTGGTTTGTCAAAGCCACCGGTGAAGACGTGGAATTTTGCCTAGACTATGCCAAGTTCAAAGCCAAACTGATGGCCACAGGGGAAGACCACAACACTAGATACTACACCCTAAACTCCTTGTTGGAAATCTGGCAGGGCGCCTGTCCCATCTAAGCTTACATTGACAAATTCCTCAAACTAAAGACTTACACCCAATTGGAAGACAAACTGGCAGCCATCATCTTCCAAAAGGGAGTCAACCTAGCAATGAAGGACTTTTTGAAGCACCATCCACCCACCCTCAACCTAGACAATCTGGTTCCCCTGTGCAAGAGCCTTAGCATGAACCAAGAGAATGCTGGCCCCTCCCAGACCTGCCAAACCCGAGCACCAACCCCAACAGAACAGGAATGACACCCAAAGAGCTCCAACAACACTATCACAAAGGACTCTGTTTCCACTGCCACAAGGAAGACCACTTGACCAGAGCCTTACCTAAGAAGAACACTGTCCCAATCTCACTGGCGCAAATAAACACTTCTTCCTAGTCTTACAAATTTATCCAAGTGACCATAGAACTATTGGGAACAGGCGCCAGATCAAAGCTTTTATTGATACAGGAGCTGATGAAAGCTTCATTGACGCCAGACTAGCAAAGGAACTAGGCATGACAGCTTCAGAGCGTAGCCTACAAGTAGTCATGGGAAACAGCTCTTTGGACACTGGCTATGAGTGTGAACAAGAACTCCTGTTGACAATTGGACATAATGTGTACCTGTTGTCCCTGATCCTCTTACCTGGACTACCCCACCCCCTTATACTGGGCAACTCCTGGTCCAACAAACATGACCTGATCCTGAACTATCACAAACAAACCGCCACGCTGGGCCAACCTGAATCTTATGACACTGTCCCCTTTTGCATGAGCCATGGCCAAACCCCTACCAACAAACTCTTAACCATAAAGATAGAACCTAGCATTGGGATACTACCTACTCCCTTACAGAAATGGGATCATGTGTTTAGTGAAGAAGAAGCCACAAAACTACCCAGCCATTCAATCTATGATCACGCCATAGACCTGATACCAAGAACCCAACCTCACCACAGCCCCATCTACAGATGCAGCCACCACAAACAAGTAGCCTTGAAAGCATACCTGGAAGATATGACAAAAAAGGGTTTCATATGAGTGTCAAAGGCCCCCTGCTTGTCACCCATGCTGTTTGTAGGGAAAAAGATGGAGGGATGTGCCCATGTGTGAATTATCAAAACCTGAACAACATCATAGTGAAGAACCACTACCTCATCCCTAATGCCAACGACCTCTGTGATGTACTGACTGGAGCCCAGGTGTACTCAAAAATTGACCTCTGAGATGTGTTCAACCAAATCCAAATCAAGGATGGAGATGAGTACAAGACTGCCTTCAAACCCTGATATGGGCTGTACAAGTACCTTGTGATGCCCTTTGGCCTCTGCAACGCCCCCAGCACCTTCCAAAGGATGATTAACACTGTCCTAGGGGAATACCTTGACCGCTTCTGTGTGGCATATCTGGACAACATCCTCATCTACAGCAAGTCTCACAAGGAACACCTACGCCACCTGGACCGTATATTAGAGAAAATCTCCCAAGCCAATTTACACACTAAGCTCAAGAAGTGTGAATTCTTTCAGTCTGAGGTTGAATTCTTGGGATACATAGTGAAGACTGGCGGCTTTGCCATGGCACAAGACAAAGTAGAAGCAATAACGTCTTGGCTGGTGTCCAAAAGCAGGAAGGATGTGAGAAGCCTCTTGGGCCTGGAAAATTATTGCAGAGATTTCATCAAAATGTTTTCTCACATTACTCTTCCCCTGACCTGCCTTTGCTCTGAAAAGGTCACCTTTGCCTGAAACCTGGAGTGTACCACCGCCTTTGACACCTTGAAACTTGCCTTCACCTCCGCCCCTTTCCTGGCCATGCCAGATCCCTCCAAGACATTTGTACTAGAAACCAACACGTCCGACTTTGGGGTGGGAGGGGTCCTTCTTCAGGAAGGAGGGGATAGTATGCTACATCCTGTAGCATATTACTCCAAGAAGATGCTGCCTGCCAAAGGAAACTACCCAATCTACAACAAGGAGATGCTTGTAATAATGAAGACCTTGAAACACTGGCACCAGTACCTATGTGGCACTGAATTCTCAGTAAAAGTCCTAACTGACCACAAGAACTTGGTTTGCTTTTTTAAACCCAGACAGTTGAACCAGAGTCAGGCCAGATGGGCTCTAGAACTGGCCAACTACACCCTGAAAATTGACTACAAACCCAGGAAAGTCAACATAGTACCTGACACACTAAGCAGAAGCGCAGATATGATTCCCACCACAGCTGAGACCAAGGACCACAACACCCATGTACTCCTCAACCCCGCCAGCCTAGGCATTCAACTGATGTTCATGAAGATCATGGCCCATAAGCCTGACATAATTGAGGTGCAGAAATTAGACAAGTATTCAGCGGAACTCATTGCCAACTTGACCTCAGACCCAGATAGCTGACGCTACAAGAAGAGATTCTCATTGAAAGGAACCACCCTTCTATTACACAACCGTATCTATGTACCAGAAGGTGAAACAAGGACCAAAGTACTCATAGACTATCACAACTCAGAGATGAACAGCCACCCTGGCAGACTCAAGACAATCCAAGGAATCAAGAAGAATTATGCTTGGCCCCAACTGGACAAAGACATGGCCGCCTACATCAAAGGCTGTGAGACATGTGGAAGAACCAAACCCCGTAGATCCAAACCTGAAGGCTTGCTAAGACCACTAGAC